ATGTGAGAAAATAACTGATGAGACTTGCAAGGAGAAACATATGAATTCATTATTATGGCTGGAGACTTTAATGCCTCTCTATCAAAATGGGCAAATGCAGCAGGCAGAGCAGTAACTGCATAGTTGAAATCATCAGCACCATCAATCAATCAGATTTTGATCAAGAGGCTACTTGATCAAATCACAGCAGATTACACATTCTCCTCAACCTCACATGGGACAATCCCATAAGATATACCACATTCTGGGCCATAAATTCTCAACATTAGTAAACTTCAAAGAATAGAAATCATCATGTCTGCTCTCAGATCACAATTTAGAAATTCAAAAAATAGAAAGAGAATTGGAAAATCCCCCAATAGTTGAAGAATAAACAATACACTTTTGTTTTAAGAGAAGGGAAGGTTTATCTGGTGCGCCTGGTTTCCTAGGTCTCAGTCCATAGAAGGTCAACTCCATGGCTGTGAGTCTGAGGTGAGGCAGAACATCATGGCGGAAAGGTGTGGAGGAGGAAAGCAGCTCAGGATATAGCAATTAGGAAGCAGAGAGAGAATAAACAATACACTTCTAAATAATGTGTGGTCAAAAAAACTTAAAAGAATGTAAATAGATTAACTAAATGAGAATAAAATACAGCTTGTCAAAATCTGTGCAAAGCATTGCTGGAATCTACAGCATTGAATGCATATATTGGAAAGAAAGAAGATCAAGAGTCACTAATATAAGCCCCTGCCTTAGGAAGTTCAAAGAAGAAGAGCAAATTAAATCCAAAGTAAGCAGAGGAAAAGGCAAATAAAAAAAATAGAGCAAAAGTCAACGATATTAAAAATAGGAAAAGAATAGAGAAAAGCAGCAAGACCAAAAGCTGCTTCTTTGAAGAGATCGATAACATTGATAAACTTCTAGCCAAGTTAATAAAAAGAAAAGGAGAGAAAAGAAAACAAGACTTGCTATCAAAAATGAAAGATGTAATGTCAATATAGACACCATGAACACTAAAAGAACAATGAAAGTATGTTATGAATGACTCTGTGCCCTCAACTTTGATAATGTAGATGAAATGGACCAATTTCTTAAAAGACACAATCTGCTTAAACTAATTCAGGCCCTGTAATCCCAGAGATTCAGGAGGTTGAGGTAGGAAGATTGCAAGTTGAAGGCCTGCCTCAGCAACTTAGTGAGACCTTGTCTCAAAATAAAAAGGACTAGGAAATGTGGCTCAGTTGTACATGTGCTCCCAGATTCAATCCCTAGAATCATCAAAAATAAATTGGGGCTGGGGCTGTGGCCCAGCCATAACGCACTTGCTTGGCATGTGTGAGGCACTGGGTTTGATTCTCAGTTCCGCATATAAATAAATAAAAATAAAGGTCTATCAACAACTAAAAAAAATTAAAAATACATAAGTAAATAAAATAAGATAAAACTAATTCAGAAAAAATAGATACTCTGAATAGGCCTATATCTGTTAAACAAATTGAATCAGTAATTGATACTTTCCAAAACAGAGTGCATGTTTGGCTTTTATGGATCCAAACATTTAAGGAGGAAATTATGCTAATTCTCTTTAATATGTTTCCAGAAGAGCAGAAGGAATACTTTCATACATATTCTGTGAGGCCAGTAGTACTCTAATACCAAAACCAGATGAAAATATTAAAAGAAAACTACAGACCAACATATCTTTTTTAAAAATAATTTTGTTTTATTTATTTTTTATGTGGTGCTTAGGATCGAACACAGTGCCTCACACATGCTAGGCAAGTGCTCTACCACTGAGCCACAATCCCAGCCCCAGACCAATATATCTTATGAACATAGATGTGAAAATCTTCAACAAAATAGTAGCAAGTTTAATCCAACAATATATACAAAGAATTATAAACCTTGAACAAGTGGGATTTACCTCAAGTATGCACGTCTGACTTCACATTAATAAATCAATGAATGTAATCCATCACATCAACAAACTATTGAAGAAAAATTACATAATCATATTGATGCAGAAAAAGGATCTAATCAGACTCAACACCAATTCATGATTTAAAAAACAAAAACAACCCTTCATCAATACAGAAATAGAGGGCAACTTCCTTAATTCAGTAAAGAACATCTATAAAAACCCTGTAGTTGCCAGGTGTGGTTGTGCATGCCTGTAATCTCAGCAGCTCCAAAGGCTGAGGCTGGACAATCTGCAAGTTCGAGACCAGCCTTAGCAAATTAGCAAGGCACTAAGCAATTTAGTGAGACTCTGTGCCAAAATAAAATAAAAAATAAAAAGGGCTGGAGAGGACTGGGGCTATAGCTCAGTGGCAGAGCATTTGCCTAGCATGTGTGAAGCACTGGGTTCAGCACCACATTAAAATAAATAAATAAAATAAAGGCATGCTGTCTATTTACAACTATATTTTAAAAACTTAGGGGAAAACAAAGACTGGGAAATGTCTCGGTAACTAAGCATTCCTGGTACTCTCACCAAAAACATGTGAAAGAAAGAAAAAAAATGAAACCCTACATCTAATGTCATTCTTTCTGGTGACATTAAGATCAGGAATAAGGCAAGGAGGTTCCCTCTCACCACTGTTTTGAACATCATACTAGAAGTTGCAGCTAATACCATAAGGAAACAAAAGGTACTGAGGAGGAAGAACTAAAGTTGCTTTTTGTCTACAGATAACATAATTGTCTATATAGAAAATCCAGATGAATTAACAAAACACTTTTGGAACTAATAATAGCAGGTTGGAGGATACAAGATTAATGTACAAAAGATCATCATTTTCCTGTAAATCAGCAATGAGCAAGTGGAATTTGAACTTAAAAACACATTATCATTTACATTAGCACCCCCCAAAAATGAAATACTTAGGTACAAATCTAACAAAATATGTCAAGATCTATTATGAAGAAAACAATAACACTCTGATGAAATGAAGAAATAAATAAATGGGGAGAGATTCTATGTGCATGAATAGGAAGACTCAATACTACCAACATATTAGTTCTTCCAAACTTGATCTGTAGACTCAGCATCCCAAATTCCCAGCACATTATTTTATGGCTATGAAGAAACTGATTCTATAGATTATATGCAAAAACCAAAGACCCAGAATAGCCAACTGAATATGGAAAAAGACACTATTGGACTTCAAGATTTCTATTTTTCTATAAAGTAACCAAGACACTGTGAAATTCACAAGAGAATAGGCTAAGAGATCAATGGAACAGAAGAGAGAGCCCAGAAATAGACTCACATAAATATAGTCAATTGATCTTTGATCAAGGAGCAAAGGCAGTACAGAGGAGTAAAGATCGTCTTGTCAACACAGGCACTGAAAAAACTGGACATCACGAGACAGACCTTAAACTTCACAGAAAAATCAACTCAAGTGGGCTGGGGATATAGCTCAGTCGGTAGAGTGCCTGCCTCACATTCACAAGGTCCTGAGTTCAATCCCCACACCACAAAAAGTCAACTCAATATGGATGATAAACCCAAATATAAAGCACACAATAGAACTCTTAGAAAAAAACATAGAAAACCTGCATGACCGTGTCTATGGCAATGCCTTTCTAGATGTGATATAGAAGGCATGATCCATGGACCGATGAGTTGGATTTATTAAATTAAATGTCAACAGAATGAGAAGACAAGTTGCAGACTGGGAAGAGTAGTTGCCAAAGATGCATCTAATCAAGGATTGCTATGCAAAACATACAAAGAACTCTTATAACTCCACAATAATATGATGAACAAATGAACAACTTGGTTAAACGTTGTACAAAAGAACTGGACAGACACCTCATTTGAGAAGAGATTAGGCAAATGGTCAGTGATGAAAAGATGTGCAACATCACACATCGGTAGGAAACTGAAAATTAAAACAATGGTTACCTCTACGTTCCCATCAGAATGTCCCAAATCCAGAACACTGACACCCCCAAATGATGACAAGAACGTGGAGCAATGGCAATTCTCATTCACTGCTGATGGGAAGGAAAATGTCATGGCCACTTCGGAAGACAGTTTGGCAATTTTCTCCAAAACTAATACGGGTTCCCATGTGATCCAGCAATCACACTCTTGATCAAAGAATCAGTGGTTGCTAAGGATTAGGGGAGGGAGGACTAAATGAGCATGTCTCTGAGGATTTTTAAGACAGTGACGCTGCTCTGTATGATAATGCAGTGGTGGATACATGTCATCAAGCATTTGCCTAAACCCATAGGATGTACAACACCCAGAGTGCTCCTTCAGGTAAGTATGGACTTCAGGTGATGAGGTGTCTATGTAGATTCATCAAGTCTAACAAATATCCCACTGGGGGTGGGTGTTGAGAGTAGGGGGTGTTTGTATGGGAGGAGGGAAGTGGGTGTATGGGAACTCTGTGTACTTGCCTCTCAACTTTGCTGTGAACCTAAAAATTCTCAAAAAAAAAAATACTTTATTAAAATAAAAAAGCAAGGTACTCAGTAATACATATGATGCAATCCCATTTATGTCTTAAATATTATATGATATTATTTTCAGACTGTGCATTTATCTTTTGTATGGCTACATTGGTGAACCCTGTTACCGTTGACCTTGAGGTTGAGGGAGAGGAGGGACACCTCCCCTTGCAGCTGTAGTCTGTCACATTTTAGTGTTCAACAGTGGTACTTATTCACCCGGCAAAAAGGAGCTGCTGCTAGGCCTGTGTCTCTGGGTTCTTCTTTCAAGGTCACATCAGAAGGTCATGTTGTCTGGCAATTTTAAAATATAAAGCTGTAGCACTCTGTGCCACATTGATTTATTCATTCGGTGAGTGTTTTTTTTTTTCTGTGTGTGTGTGTGTGTGTGTGCTCGTCTGTGTCAGGCCCTGGGGTTCCAGGCATTCTGTCAGGCCCCAGGGTACCCATGGGACAAGGGCTTAGGGGTAAGGTGGGGGTTTTTTTGGTTTATTTTCTCACAGAGCATTCTGCATAGTTTGGAAAAACTAACTGTGATTCCTTTTCCTCAGAGAAGCCGTGTGGAGACCCACCTTCGTTCCCACACACCATCCTGCAGGGCCGTACGGGCTTGGAGATGGGGGATGAGCTGCTGTATGTGTGTGCCCCGGGGCCTGTTCCAGGCCAGCGAGAAATGGCCTTCACCTTGCTGTGCAACAGCTGTGGGGAGTGGTACGGCCTGGTGCAGGCCTGCGGGAAAGGTAAGCACCTGGGCTAGGCCACCCCACCTGCCACGCAGAGCCCAGGAGGAGCTAGCAGAGGGTCCTGTTCTGCTTGCTGGCTTCCTGCAGTGGGCTCCTTTTACACCGAGGTGTCTTAATAATAAGGTGTCTTATAAAGATGATTCAGATATTCTGCTGAGCTCTGGGCCTGGCAATATCTCTGCGTGGGCTTCCTGCAGCATTTTAAATGCAGCATCCCTACAACTGAGCTCTTCATCTTCCTTGCTGGGGGTAAAGGGTTAATGAAACCCCCTTGCTGGGCTCTGTGGCACACACCCGTAATCCCAGAGGCTCTGGAGGCTGAGGCAGGAGGATCTCGAGTTCAAAACCAGCCATAGTGAAAGTGAAGCAACTCAGTGAGACCCTGTCTCTAAATAAAATATAAAATAGGGCTGGGGGTGTTTGGCTCAGAGATTGAGTGCCCCTGAGTTTAATTCCTGGCACCCCCCAAAAATAAAAAATTAAAATAAATAAAACCCGCTTTCTTGTCTAAGGATGGAATTGATCCTGGGTTAACTCCTTTGCTTATTTCCCTGAAAAACTGGTCAAGATGGAACAATAATTGTGGTACACAAGCTACATCACTTCTAATAAAAGTGACCTCCAAGGGGTAAACTGGGCTGGGCGGATTTTAATGAATACATGAAAAGGGAGCTCACCTCTGGGCTTCCCTGCATGTGGTGATTCTCACATCTGGATTTGACTCTTATGGGGACCCCAAGAACTATGGTGTGTTTACTACAAGAAATTGGGGTATTGGGGAGCTGGGGTTGTGGCTCAGTGGTAGAGCACTTGCCTTGCATGTGTGAGGCACTAGGTTTAATCCTCAGTATCACATAAAAATAAATAAACAAAATAAGATATTTGTCTTTTTACAACTAAATATATATATATATATATATATATAAAGAAATTGGGATATTGTTTTTTGTGGGACTTCTAAAAGTGATGGATCTGGACTCATACATGTGAGTCCTGTCCCCTTGCACCTGAGCAATTATGAGGGACTGAGGGTAGTGGCTGGAGCAAGCAGACTATTCTAGGACAGCTGTGTGGACAGCTGTGCAGGCTTCTCCACTGGTGACAACTGCCTGCCCTGACCCGCCACCTTGCCTACCCTTTGGCCTGGAGCCTTCTGGTGCCAGGGGTGGCCTGCGGTAGTTGTGTGACTCTCAATAGTTACTTGAGACTAAAAAGAGTTCTAGTAGACTCTGAGCAACAAAAACCTGATCTAATTTCTCCAGATGTTCCAATTCCAAACCTAATCTGATTTCTCCAGATGTTCCAGTGCCATCGTCACATTCCCAGGAGTCCCAGGTCTCTTTAGTCTTCTCTCTGCCCAACCCCTGGGGAACTTCCCCAGCAGCAGAGAGCACTATGTCCACATCACAGCAAGGCCTGGTCTTCCCACCCCTGTGGGGCCCAGCACCTACCAGGGACCTTGAGCAGCTCCCCTCTCCCCGCAGACCTGGACTCATGACTTCTGTGCCTGAGACCTCACGCCAGACCCTGAATTGTTCCCTGATGACAATGCCTTGCTGTCACCCAAGAGTCCTTCAGGGGTGGTCCCTCACCTCCCATAACACCTGAGTACCTCGTGGGGGCTGGTTCTTCAGAAGGGAATGATTCCAGTGCCACAGCATTCCTGAAGGCCTAGGTAGGACAGCGTGTCCCTGCAGTGTCCTGCAGATGGGAGCTGCAGAGTGAACACCCGTCAGAGTTATCCAGGCCGTTCCCTAAAGCCAGGGTTTGCAGTCCTCACCGCTGTTTACCATCACAGTGTGGACACAGCAGCTTATCCAGTCTGCTGCTGGTGGACATTTAACTTGTTTTTATTTTGTGGCTGTCATGAGCTACATTGCAACGGTTTTGGGTGTGAACATTTTTCCGTTGGTTCCTAGGAGTGGAATTCCTGCCCACAGGGTATGTGTGTCTTAGTTTAAGCAGTTGCTGCCAAAAAGTTTTCTAAAGTATTTTTTTTTAATATTTATTTTTTAGTTCTCGGAGGACACAACATCTTTGTTGGTATGTGGTGCTGAGGATCGAACCCGGGCCGCACGCATGCCAGGCGAGCGCGCTACCGCTTGAGCCACATCCCCAGCCCTTCTAAAGTATTTTGATCAGTTAGCTGTCCCCCAGATATGTGTGAGGGCCCTTGTTCAGCATCCTCATTGACCTTGAGGATTGCCAACCTGGTGGCTGTTCTGTAGTAACTTTAGTCACAATGTTCATTTCTCTGCTGATAGTGAAGTTGAGGGCTCAGTAAGTATTAAAGTGTCCTCATATAAAATGTCCGTTTAAATACTTTTATTTTTTTTCTTGGGTACCAGGGATTGAACCTAGGATCACTTATCCACTGAGCCACATCCCCAGCTCTTTTCATATATATATAATTTATTATTAATTTATTAATTTTAATTAATTAGGTATATATGATAGCAGAATGCATTTTGATTCATTGTACCCAATTGCAGCACAACTTTTCATTTCCTCAGGTTGTACACCATATAGTATCACATCATATGTACAGTCACATATGTACCTAGGGTAATGATGTCCTTCTCATTCCACCGTATTTCCTGTCCCCCTTTTCGTATTTATTTTGAAATTTTATTTTGAATGCACAAAGTTACCTGAAGCCTAGATAAATTGCAGAGGCTGGCTTGGAATTTGCAATCCTCCTGCCTCAGCCTCAAGAGTTGCCACCACGCCCAGCTTGTTTAAGCACTTTGCCTGTTTTTCTAAAAATTTGAAATGATTATTCACATAAAATGTTCATAATTCATGTTTTAGAAATATTCCTTCCCATTTTGTAGCTTAGTTCTTTACTTTTGGAGTACCTTTTAATGATGTTTGTTGTTGAAATAGTCCATTTCACTACTTTTCAAACTCTGAGTGGATTATCATTTTTTTCCTAGTCATTGGCTGACTGATACTTTAGTAAAATGCAATAAAAAATGAATCACTATAAAAATAGATTCCAATCCCAGTGGCTCAGGAGGCTGAGGCAGGAGGATTGCAAGTTCAAAGCCAGCCTTAGCAATTTACCAAGTCTCAAAATTAAAAAAATAAAATAAAATAAAAAGGTCTGGGGATGTGGCTTAGTGTTGGTTAAACACCCCTGGGTTTACTCCTCAATACCCTGCCAAAAATACATTGCAATATAAAGGCAAATTTTTATTACAGTAAATAGGCAAAAATCTCCTTCAAATTGCTACAAAAGTATCTCTATTCTTCCATCTCCCTTCTCTCCCCCTTTACCTAATCTAAAGTAACTCTATTTTTCCCTAGCCCCCCACAATAGCTGGAGAATATCATGCTAATAGAAATATCATGCCAAAAAAACAAACACTGAATGTTTTCTCTGATATCTGGATGCTAATTCACAAGAAGGATGGTTCGGGAAGCTAGGGAAGAATAGAGGTACTTTAGATTAGGTAGAGAAGGGAGAGGAGTGGGGTATGAGGGTAGGAAGGATAGTAGAATGAATCAGACATTATCACCCTATGTGCATATATGACTGCATGACTACATCATGTACAACCAGAAAAAATGAGAAATTATACCCTATTTTTGTATAATGTGTCAAAGTGCACAAGTGCATTCTACTGTCAAGTAGAACAAATACAAAAAGAATAATTTTCTACAAAAGCTTCTAAAAACTGTCTCAGTGCATATACTTGTACAGTGGTAGGAAAAAGTCACAGACTGGGACAAGCATTGGATATACACTTTGAGGAATCTTCTAGCAGCCTGCTCACCCTGGAATTATTAATTTCTCATGAGGTGCAGAAGTTGCACCAGCCCATGTGCCACACCCCAGCCAAATGGGTTGTTTACTGGCCCCAGCAGAAGGAAAACTAAATGCAGGTTTTGTGTGTTAGAAATGGTGTTTATTTTCTCACTGCAATGCAGAGTTCCGAACGCTTTCAGCTGCTGAGCAAGGAAATCTGGCTTCTGCACTTGACTGAGTATACAGACGGTTACAGTTTTCATTGCTCTGTAATTGGACATTTAAAAGTCTCTTGTGTTATTCCAAGAAATCTCTATGTGCACGTATGCTGTAAGAATATGTTCAGCCGATATTTCACTACTTCCTATGTTTATCTATTCTAGTGAACATCAACATTTTTTAAAATTAGGGAATTGCTTCAAATTGGAGAAAGGTCATTTGGGGGAAGGGTCAGTGTTGGCTGCATCTGGGTTTGGATATTAACTAGCTGGTTGGCTCTTCATCTGTTCACTCATTTCACATCCCATCATTTGGCAGGATCCTCTGTGTTATGTGTACAAAGTTGAGTCAAACACTCCCAACCCTGATGGAAACACTAATAATTGGGTGCCTCAAAGGAGATGGTGAAGCAGAAGATGACCAGGTAGCAGGGAAAGCTGAAAATAGAGGTGTTGCCAAAGGTGACCTTCTAATGAAGGCATGTTTCCTGAGAATTTAAAGAAATGGAAGTGAGAGTGTACATTGGCCTCACAGGGTGATGAGGACAAGGGCCAAGGGCAAGCAACTCGCTCTCAAATTTCTACTGTTCATGAAAAGAACTAGGGAAGACACAGAGAATATAACTAAATCAGGGGTCCAAGGAGGTTTGCGGGAATTTGTTTTCTTTTGTTTTCTTGCTTGATTAGTTGTTATCTTTAACATGATGTCTTTTTAAGAGACTTGAGCTTATTTAAATGATGATGGAAAGGATCGTAAGAGAAGTAGAGAATTAACAATCCTCTTCACTTTCCTGATCCTTAATTTGCTCTTACAAAAAAACGAGTCCTTAGCCAGGTGCAGTGGCACACACCTGTAATCCCAGCTACTCTGGAGATAGAGGTAGGAAGATTGCAAGATTGAGGCTAGCCTCAGCAACTTAGGGATGCCCTGTCTCAAGATAAAATAAAAGGGGGCGGGGATGTGATTCAGTGGTGGAGTATTCCTAGGTTCAATCCCCAGCACCATGCATAGAAAAAAAAAAAAGAAA